GTGTTGGAAGAAAAATTGAGTTCATCCAGATTGGCTTGAAACTTAGAGGAATTGAAGGGGGTTTGCAAAATTTAGCTTCCATACTTTGAATTCAAGGCCTAAGGTAGGAAAATCATCTTCTTAATTGTGAATTCAAGTTATCTCTTGCATGTTTCATGGAAATTAGTGATCTAAGTCAAGATTTGATCTAAAGTGTTGCATTGAGAGTGAATTCTTGCATGTATGTACATGTTCTTGAAATTTGAAGTTGTTCTTCATGAAATCCTCACATGCATGTCCATATTTTAGTTGTAACCCATGAATTCACCATGTTTTGGAGTTCAAACTTGCATTTGGTTACATTTTGGAGCATTGGAATTCATTAGAACACTTGCATGTAATATTTTTGCATTGTTATTCAAGTTTCCTTGAAATTGTGTTCAAATTGGCTTACCTTTGGGCTTGATTTTACAAATTGATCTTCAAAGACATGTTATACTATGAGTCTTCAAGTGTTTTCCAGAAAATTAGCCCAAAAGAATCGAGTTTGAAGCTTTAGAAGTTGAATTTTGTGCTTGAAGACCAATCTGGAAATTCCAGATTTTGGATCCATGCTCGAGCGGAGGACTTCACGCTCGAGCGTACACTTTGAGTACATGCACTTCCGCTCGAGCGTAGAAAGTCACGCTTGAGCGTGAAATGCATATGCCCAGAAGTTCATATGTTTTGTAGTCTGCTCGAGCGAGAGAATTCACGCTTAAGCGAGGACTTGAGTCTCACGCTCGAGCGGAGGTCGAGCATCCGTCGAGCGTGAAAATTGTGCATCCAGTATTTTTTCATGAGTTTGCAGTTCGCTCAAGCAGGGAAAGCCACGCTCGAGCGGAACTTCATTGTCTGCATGTTCGCTCGAGCGTAGAAGCCATGCTCGAGCGCGGACCCCTGTTTCAGCAAATTTTGAAAAATGTTTTAAAGTGCATTTTTGCATCCTCATTCCATCCTAGGCATTCCTAGGCCTAGTTTAAGGCATCTTAATGAGAATAATGTTATAGAACCACACCAAGTCGAGTTAAGGGGCTAATTTATTAATCCCTAGTGTGTAACTTAGTGTGTGTTCGTTTTATTTACTGTGTAGGGTTGGCATCCGAGGACGCTCGTTAGCTTGTCTATAGCCCAGTGCTCTGTGAGTAACAATGTTGTAAAGATATGTTCAATTATGATTATTTTCTGAATGATCAACTGTTCTGCTTACTGAAACGTTATTGTTTAATGAATGAATGTTTGTCCTATTTGTAAACTGTATTCGTGACATCCATAGCAATTTACTGTTACTGTTACTGACATAGACATCTCTGTCGGTTCTCATGTTTGGAACCACTACTGTTACTGTTATGATGGCCATCGACTGACTGTTCGGTCTGTTAAGACCTACTGTACTGTTTTGCTATGGGATATACCACATATAACTGTTATGGTTTCTAAATGACTGATACGACTGCTTAATTACTGAAAGGACATTCATTCTTAACCTCTTTACATAACTGTTATTCACTGAGCTTTAGCTCACTGTTTATATATATATATATATATATGTAGGTGTTCAGGCACCGGACCGGAGCTAGAAGCGCCGGATTAGCTCTTGTTTTGTCAAGCCAACCACCATGCCTTACATCGAGGTTCCAAGTCTGTTCAAGCTACGGCTGTTTTGGGGTGTTCGGATTCACCCTTCTGTTTCTGTTTGTAATAGATGTTATAGACTCCTACTGTACAACTATGGCATAGGGATTGAATCCCTAACTTGTATGTATGTATATCTGATATGTAAATGTGTTTTGGTTACGAATGTGACTTGTGCATAAAGTCTTTTTGCATTCAGGCTGTCACAGCTCATTGGACACCTTTTATTTACTGTTTTGGCTTCCGCCAGCCCCTTTACTCTGTATTACTATCATTACTGTTAAGCAGGCCTTTGGTAATCACGGATTACTGACCGGTTGCGATGCTAAACCCATAGGGGCGGGTTTGGGTCGTGACAACAAACCACACATGAACAAAACAACATCAAACATTTCCATACATTTTGCCATTGCAAAACAACAACCATACGAACGCCGATTCACAAATGATGTTAGCTCACCGATGTTTTAGCCTCACTGATGATCACAAATCCAAAATCCTCAGTGCCCACGCCGACTCGTCTCTGCCAATTTACTAGAAGGGGTTTTTGTGTCTTCTAGGGTTTTTGTGGGTAGTGTTCAACATTATTTGGGAAATGAATATTCTAGTTCCAACATCACCAAATCCGATGCTTCAATCACCCAAGATGAGGATCTAATCACTAACATTGGAAAAGAAACCCAAAAATTTTGTATTTTATCTCGTCTGTTTTGTTCGAGATGGAGGGAAACAATAAAAAGCTATAGTACACTTTTGGGCATTTTTGTAAATACAACATCACCAAAAACCCACATTTACCCCTACTCAAGCCAAGTCACATGATAATTTCATGGGCTTTATGTAACTAACATTCACATGGGACTTTTCAGTCTACAAAATAAAACATAGGACTAAATGATTCAACACATCCAAATTTGGGATTTATTGGTCCTTTACTCTAAAATTAAACACATAATTAAATTAATATAATCATGATATGCATTTTGGGGTCATTACAGTACTATTGTAATTTCAACTTTTATAAAATTAAATCTTAACCATTTAAAAAACCACTCTAAGATCACAATATGAAAATCACTTTATAAGATTTGGACTCATTTTTTTCATATTTTATTTTATGGATTTCATTTCCAACCTACGATTATAATTTAAAATTTTCATGTGGTAAGTAGTAAAGATGAGTATAATAAAAAAATTATTTTATTTGATATCCGTAGATGTATAAATAAATTACATTTTATTTATTTTTAAAATAGACAGTAATTATGAGCTTAAATTTAAATTGTTCACTTCATAAAATAAAATATGATTTATTTATCTATTCATTAATATTCAATGAAAATGATTTTTCAAATAAATGGTATTTATTGCAAGGTTTACAAGTTTGTGAAACTTAAAAAAAAAATTAAAAAAATAACTTGTGAAACTTATAAAATAAAATAAAATTATAAAAATAGCATTGCAAAGAGGACCCATTTTGATACGGGGGTTACTTTTGACTTGCATTGATTTTTTATTTTTATTTTTTTTGGATCTTATATGTCAGTTTTTAGGCATTTTATTAAGAGAGAATTGTTAAAAAGTCCAAATTAAGGAGGGTTTAAGTCATTAAGTTTAATAGATACTTTTTATTTGTGAAAGGTCCACTCTTTATGAAATAGTTTGGTAAGAAGTTCTTTTATTTGTTTTGAAGGACATTTTGTTTTTAATTTTACCTCTTAATTTATCTGTTGACTTTTTTTTGACTATCTATTCAAATTTTTTTCTATCTGTTCAAATTTTTTCTTTATCTGTTCAATTTTTGTACCCTATCTGTTCAAATTTTGTGGGTTTCTCTTTATCTACTCAATTTTTTTTTCTCTTTTCTATTTAAATCTATTTGTTCAAATTTTATTATCTATTCAATTTTTTCTCTTAGCTGTTTAAATCTATATGTACAAATCCCAAAATCTTATTATTTATCTTTACAAATCCACTATCTGTTGAAATATCTACATTATTTCAAACAGATCTGAGCCATTTTAAACAAATTTGAACAACAATTTAATGTTTTTATCTTTTAAAGGTCTAATCTTTTGAAATAGTCTTTTGTTTTATCTGTTGAAACAATTCTCTCTTTTCATATCTGTTGTGTTTGATTACAAAGGAGATCTAGAGAGATCTGGGCATGGAGATTTGGAGCCTTTTGAATAGATCTGAGAACATAACAACCAGTGTTCTGTAAAATATTCTCAATCTTACTTCATAACTCCATAGCTACTCGGTCATAAATCTTTTACAAATTAATATATATATATATATATATATATATAAAACTACAAATCAAGTTAAAAATAATAGAAATTAGCAATTCCATAGCTAAATAACAGTCTTTAAAGTTGACCATCACTATCAACTACAGTTGGTCATAATGATCAACTTATAGATCTTGCAAAACAAATATTAGAAATTTGTGCAAACACATAGGAAATACAATTAGAGTTCTCACAGTTAGAACCAAAATGAAGCAAGTTCTTTAGCATGTAAGGAACGGATCTATTTATCTTCAAGGTCGACAGTGGATGACCCGCTGGAGCTGTCGCGACGCCTCCATCGTCATCACAGTTCATTTTTGCAAACAATTCAATGACAAACAATATAGAGCAAAATTGAAACCACACTATAGTTACAAGATCATATCTATACTTTGATCTGGAAGAAGAAAGAGAAGACACAAGAGCGCCAGCACTAGTCGTTGGATTAGAGGTGGATGGTTGAGTGAATGACGTTGAAGCCGATGCCTTAACTGCCTCATCACTAATGACCTCATCAAGAGCGATATTCTTCACAACGACGGTATAACTATGGATCTAGTTTCAGTAATAGTAGATCTAAGAGGGTTTGGGTGGTTGATCTTCTACCAGATCTAGTCAATCTGACTAGATATACGCACTAAGAAGAATTCATTGTTGAGGGTGAGGTAAGGGAAGCGATGTCGGTAGTGACGGCGCAGGCGCCGGCGAGGTTCAGATCAGATAGAGAGAGAGTTTGTTTGTTGTGTTTAGTTTGTTTGGTTTGCACTGTTACACCATATATATGATGGGTATTTTAGTCATTTCACTTAAGTATGTCCTTATAGGCACGTTAAATTCTTGGGAAATTTTATTTCCACCCACCTAATAAACTCAAGGCAAATCTTTTCTCACTACACACCCCTATTAATTTGATTAAGAACTAATTTTCTCAATCCACACCCTTAAAATTACAATTACATCCATGTTTCATAAAATGGTACACACTTTTCATCCTAAAATGCACACACTTTAATTGACCTTAATTGACATTTATAGTTCCACGGAGTCATTCTCTCAAAGACCAAGTAAACTTGCAATAGCTCTAAAATCACAATTTCCATCACCATCTACATCCTTCATCAACTTTATGAATGGTATTAACATAGGCGGGAAGTCACCAGCATTTGCACTCGGTAAACTTGTTCTTGTATGATATGTCTTTGTCTTCACATTCCGCTTCTTATCAAGCACTTTCGAAGCTCTCTTTTTCTGTGACTGACTGGGAGCTAATGTGCTCTGGTTATCATGGCCATCGTCAACAAACTCAAATGCACACGGGTCACGACGACAAGATATATCAGTTTTCTTATGTCCTCGACGTGGATTAGGTTTCACATCAGGTTCAATAAGAAAAGTGCTCGCTGGATTTGCAATTTCCCTCAACTTTTTCAACATATCTAATTTCATGGCAATATCAGACTCATTGAACTGCTTCAAAATCATCTCAAGTTCTGGAATACAAGTCAATTCCAATTTCTTAACCTTTGGATTATGCACACATATAGTAAGTCGCGTCCAATGTACATGTATGCTACTGAGTGGAATAGGACGGCCTTGTCTCATGTAATCTACAATCTCGTGAGCACAAGGTAAACCATGTGTGTGCCTAAGAACACACCCACATGCTGCAACATCAATTCCAACTGAATTTTCTCTCTTACTCTTTGCCAACACGTACTCCAATGCACAAATAGACACATTACCTGGAGCTCTCTGAATTGAGAGGTTTGAATTGATGTTATGCAATTGTTAAACTCTTCTCGAATGATGCTTTAACTTGAATGTGCTGCAACTCAAGTAGACAATGTATTTTTTCAAATGAAATCTCAAATGTCGTTTGACTTGCACCTAATTGCCTCTTCAATCTAGCATGAGCACTCTCAACCTTGTTCATATGAATGTAAACAAAAATAGTCAAGCATAATAATTAAAAATAACAGTATGATTTATAAGAAATAAAAAAAAAATATTATCGATTGGTTGTAACATTACCAAAATGCATACACATGTTTGTATGTACCGCAATGAATTTTTCTTGATACGGATTCAACAAACTCACTGTAACATACTTGATTGCCTCCGAATAGTTACTGAAATTCTTATGCAGTGTTGCAAGGTGATCATTATATTCCTCTTCAGTCGATGACAATACCACATAGTTCCATGCAGTGTTAAACTTGTCCTATTTTTCTTTTGTCTCAAACATTTTCTTGTATTTCATCAATACATTCTTATTAATATGCCAACGGCATAACAATTGTCGAGCATTCGAAAAAGTGCTGTCAATGGCATTCATCAAAGCAAGCTCTCTGTCTGTGACAACGACTTCAGGTCAAACACTGTTGTCCATAAGATCACATAATGTTTGTAACACCCATTCATAATTATCAACCCACTCAGTTTGCAAGTATGCGATAGCCACAAAGAATGCCATATGAGTTGATGTCACTCCCACAATTTCAAGAAGAGGAAGTCGATATCTATTTGTCTTATATGTGTAATCCATAATCAACACACGAGGGAATGTACGGAGCAAATCCAAACTCACTGGATGTGCCCAAAACAAGTCTGTGACAGTCATAGAGCCTTCCTCACATCGATGATGCTCAATGTACTTATGTTTCGCTAATTCACCCAGTAGTTGTTGCATCTGGGATCTACCAGCTTTCTGTAGGACCCTATATTAATGTCGTACATTGTAAACTGTCTTCATTGTGCTCATATTAAGGGCATCCCTCTGTTTGAGTGTAATGAGTGTCTCTTTTGGTCTTACTAGGCTCTTTGACATATCTACTAACAACGACTTTTCATTAGTTGACAATCTCCCTACATATGAATGTCCTTGGAGATGCTTCGCAGCTGGATGATTATGCAGTCCACAAACTACATTCAATACCCATTCATCGTTTGTTTTCAACTTGTATGCCTTCAAATCAAATATTCATACTTCTTCGTACCAGTTTGTCTCAATAAGTCTTTTGAGCCATCTTTCAACTTTTTACATGATCTATACTTTGCACTCCGCTCACAAGCAAGATAAATTCTTGGTCTCTTGGTACCGCCACCATAGTCTGATGTCCTTATAACAATAACAAAGCCATTTGCCCTTCCAATATCACATACCCAAGTGAGCAATTCATCTTTGCTGTCGAAAACCTATATATAATGTCACACAACTTTCATAAGAACAAACTAAACAAACTAATTAATAAAAATTATGAACTTACGAATTTCATGTTAAAAGTTACCTATATTAACAGTAAAATGACTAGTACAATCCACCATAATATCTGATCGAACCTTAGTTTCTTCAGTGGATGCGATCTAAAGAAAACAATTTTCATTCGGTTTTATAGAGCCGAAAATAATAGAATAATTTGGCACTAAAAAGCCGAAAATAATAGAATAATTCGGCACTACAGAGCCGAAAAAAAGGAAATAATTCGACACTCTATAGCCAAAAAAATTATAAAATTCGGCACTTAAAAACCGAAATAAATCTCAAATTTCAGAATTTAAGTATCCGAATTTGTCAAAAATTCGGAACTTATATATCGAAATATGATTATTATTTCAGAAGTTGATTTTCGAATATTTTGATAAAATTCCACATTGACTATCCGACTAAAAAACGCAAAAAAAATAAAAATTACTACACGAAAAAACTAACCTCTTCAGCACTGATTTTGGTGTCATCAAATATATTTTTGCTTGAGTTTGAACTTCCATAGGTTTGCAACTCTTCCATATCAAAATCAAGTAAAAATTGTGAAACTAATAATTAAACGATGTAAATAGTAGAGTATAAACCTAGAGATTAAAGCAATATGAGAAATGTTTTGAGACTATTGCATAGAGTGTGTAACAAGCAAAGTGACCACAATTGAAAAGTTAGGGTTTAATTATTTTCATTCAAAAGGTGTATATTGAGATGTTTTTATTCCTAAAAGATGTGTATAGAGAATTTATGTATATAATATTAGGGGTGTTGATAGATATCTATTATAGTAATTTTTAATTAGGATATAATTGTCATAAAATTAATTTTTTATTAAGTGTGTACCATGAGTTTATCAAGTGGATGGAAATAAAATTTCTCTAAATTATCGCCAAGACCTTTTGGCAAGCAAAATTCGAAATTAAAATTTTCAACCGAACACCCTTTTATTAATGCATAAATAAATGATGGCAAGTTTCAAAAGATGATTTTACAGTACAATAATCCTTCGGCCACCAAAAACGTGGCAGTCCAAATGGCCCGTACACAAGTGGAAGGCACGCCTCACACACCTCACTCTACATCATCCAACCCAATCATCAAGTTTCAATAATTACAAATAGACCCCTACAAAATTTAAAAATTACAAAAAATAAAATAAAATATAAATATAAATATAAAATATATTAAGAAAAACTATATTTGTATAAAATCTTAAAAAGTAATAATTATATACTTTTAATTACAGCACTTAGAGTCGAATAAAAGATAGTTTAGATATATTTTTGAATTAGAAAGTGAGTTAAATATGTTAAATTCTCTTTTGGCTATTGCTTCTCGACAATCTATAGTAAATTATAGTCAGAATATTGTTACTATTAAAGATAAAATATCCATAGAAAAGGCAAGTGTAGATTACCAATGAAGGTTTTTGCAAGAATTAATATTAAACTAAATACACAAATCCACAATTAAAATTGGTATCTGGTTTCTTAGCCTTGTCAATAATATTTGTATGAGTATTAAATATAGTGAAGAAATAGAATATGATAACTTAAATAATAGTTCTTCTTTACAAGTAATAATACAACAAAACAATGCCTTAATTAGGCTATTAAAAGAAATTAACGAAAAATTTGAAACTTATCAATTAGAAATAATTTTAATATTTTAAGCATTTTTTTTTTAATTTTTAGACATATCTAACATAAATATACCTAAAAAATAAAAAAATTGTGAAAAAAATCTGTTAAAAATTTGCTAAACACCAAAAATACAAAAAAAGAAAAGAAAAGAGAATTCAGAACATTTTTTTTGTATTTTTATGTATTTATTAATTTTTTAAAATATTTGTTCACAATTTTTTTACTTTTTAAGAAGAAGAACAATACAGATTATGAAATCGATTGGAATATTAACACAAAATCAAAACATTAAAATAACTTTTAATTTAATACATAAAATAACTTACAATTACAATTGTTGCAAATGCAAGGATCTTTAACAGGTTACAAGAGGTGTTGATTCTCACTCAGAACTCTCAGGTTTTTTCAAAATCGAAAGATGCTGAATGAATACATTTGATTACATTATATAGAAAAGAAAATTGACTATGCAGCATGTGATTTGGATAATTGATTAAGGCAGCTGGCAGCATTGAAGACTGAGCAAGCTGTCGGATGCTTTCGGCTGATTGATTGAATAGTTGAGCAGCTTTAACAAAAGTTGATTGAGTGAGCAGTAAAAGTGAATAGTAACTTTTACTATTCATTACTTTCGGTAGAACATGTAATTAAAGGAAACAATATAAATACAAATTGGCATCTTTTCTCAAAAGAGTATTGATTGAAGCTAATTTGTATCTGTAAGGAATCCAATGTTGATTAGGCATATGGATCCTGAGCATCTTGGAACTCTGGACCATATGGGTCTTGATTAGTTGATCCTTGTGAACTGTTTGAACTTTCTTCTGAACGGGACTTTTGGGCTGGTGCAGGAGGATCATCATCAGACGGCTCATCTTTTAAATGGGCTTGGGCTTGATCCATTAGGAGACGGGCTGTTTGATGCAGTTGATCACTGGCTGATCCAGGTTTAACCTTGGGCTTGGATGGAGCAACCTTTGATTTATTTGATTTGGGCTTTGATTGAGTCTTGGGCTGTATAGCGATCCCAGGTTTACCCTTGTTGTATAGTGATCCGGACATGTGTCCGTGGATGTTGGTGGTTGTTTATTATCTTGTTTGCATCCTTTTTACTTCTTATTGAGTTATAGGATGTGTTGGGCAGGTTTGTTTCAGGTTGGTTGTGTTTGGGAGCCTAGTGTTGCTGCCCAGATTTTTGGACCTTCGCTCGAGCGAGGAGTTTGTTGCTCGAGCGAGAGTTGAGTTCGTGTCTGGTGGGTCGAGCTAGAGTGGCTTCACTCGAGCGAGCGATGGCGTCTGGTTCTGGACCTGAGAGTTGTATTTCTTGGCTCGAGCGAGCTTTTCCTGGCTCGAGCGGTCTGGTTTGTTCTTCGCTCGAGCGAGAGGTCTGTCGCTCGAGCGTGCTTCTGGTTGCAGACCTGAGGGTTTGAGTTGTTGGCTCGAGCGAGCATTCTTGGCAGTCTTTATGGACTTGATGAACCAGATTTTCCGGGAGTTCTTAGACCGATTTGTGGTCGTCTTTGTGGACGACATCCTTATCTATTCGCCATCAGAGGAGGAGCACGAGGAACACTTGAGAGTGGTGCTTGAGTT